CGCATACACACTACTTTCACACATGAATTTAATTAAGCTTCCTGAATTAATAAAATAGAGACAGCTTAAGTGAAAGGTGGAAATTTCCCAGCAGAGTCAATATGTGTTGTGTGTAAGGGATGTAAAATACTGGCAAGGAGAAACAATGCAGAGATCTGAATGGGATGCACCTCCCCTCAAAGCAATGAATGTAACTGTACTGTATCCCTAAATGTACCAATAAAGTCAATTAAAGCTGAAGAAAAAGTCAGGAGATCAGCCATTCTGAATTTCTGTCCTCTGTAGAGTTGGTCTTTGAGGATATGTGCTCCAGGGAAAAGAACACTAGTGATATTTCTTGCCTTATGGTGAGCTTTGGACATTGAGCCCCTAGGGTAGAGAGTAGTAGAGGCCCAGTGGAAACCTCACTCAAAAACCCAGTCTACCCACAAAGCAAAATCTGTACCTTTTTCCAGGATGATCATCCCTCATCCAGAGATCAGAGCTTCTATTTTCTCCAGGTGAGGTGCTACGTATCATTTTCAGAAAAGCCAGATTAGTCATCCAAAGTCCCGGAGTTACTGATCTGACCTGAGTGCAGGCATTTGCTTCAATTTCATTTAGGGGAAGCAGTGAAGAAAGCACAATTATAAGATAGTGGGAAACTGTTTTGCTCTGACTCTACTGGCTGCCTGTCACATTCTTCACACTTTCTCATTTACATGTTGCACTCTATTCATCCAGCTTTCATACTTCTGGGAAACTGCTCTTTCTTTGCAACAGCAAGGGCCATTTTTTTCCTGCACAGAAATCTGCCTCTTCTCAAATATTATGACTATCATATAGTATTTGGACATTGGCTTGAATATTTTGTGTAGTAGAGAAGAGTGTTTTGGTAAATTGTTTTCTACAATATTTCTAACAAAAGTTCCATAGTCTGGGTAGACGATTAACAGAAATTTTCTCATAGTTCTGGATGGTAGAAGGCTAAAAATTGGGGTTAGTCCTTCTGAGACTTCCATCCTTGGTGTGTAGATGGCTCTTTTCCCTGTGTCTTTTTTGTGATATTTCCTCTGGATGTGCCTATTTCCTAACTTTAATTTTTTACAAAGTTTCCAGTCATATTGGTTTGTGACTCACTCTAATGATCACATTCCAGATTAATTATGCTTTCTAAGAACCATCTCCATTGTGGTCATATTTGCTGTATTGATGTTTAAAACGATTACAATATATCAAAACTAAAGGGAACAGAATTTAGCCCATTCCAATCTGATCCTTTTCTTACTTCCTTTCCTGGTCTTTCACTATATAGAGAACATTTATCCCTTTGATGTCAGACTGTAAGAACTCTGGGGAAAATATAGAGATACAGAGTAATGCCTGGTAATTTCCTATTTCTTATCATTTTAATTTCTTTTATTTATTTGGAGGCATGTTTTTACTTTGTTGCCCAAGCTGGTCTTGAACATGTGATCCTCCTCCCTCAGCACCCCAAGTGTAATTATAGGCAAGGGCCACCAACTCAGCTCCGTGTTTTGCTTTCTAAAACTGCCAATTATTTTTTAAAGAGGAGAAGTCGACATAATGCGATCATCAATAGCAACACATGACCAACTATCTCTTTCCATAAATGACTGTTTTTGACGTTTGCTTGTGTCTGAGGCAAGTCTTTTTCAATGAATAACTAAAATAAAAGCATACAGAACTCACCAGATTGTTATTTCCCCATTCTTCTCTTTCCCTTCCCTGGATATATGTATTGAATATGGTTGTGCCCCCATGTGTGGCTGCTCTACATTGTACGGGTAGTCATAATTAAGAGGCAGCAACTATAACACCTACCAGCTAGATACAGCAGAAAAAGATACAAAGTGACCATGTAGTAGAAGGCTATTTAAAATTCATGAGATAATGCTAAATATGGTTTACCATGGAAGACAATTGTTTTGAAGCTCCTCAAATTTGGTACGTGATGAATTTTGATGCAAACACTTTATCCTGGTAATTGTTATTTGGTACCCAGCATTAAAGCTACAACTCTCCTAATGACTTGCTACCTTTACCAGGCAAAATAATTTGTTTGGTATTTGTTGTTTGGGGTAGTAATCTCTCCTACTAGAATCCATTAATCGGTACCAAGGAACCAATTCCTACCAATGTCAATAAAAATAATTTGAACATAATTACTATTATAAGTAGCATATACACTAGGCCTCTGTATAAAAAATTAAAATGCATTAAATGCAATACATTGCAGTTCTTATTATTTGAAAAAATAGTATAAACATTGTACAAATTATGGGAGAGTAATTTATATCAGTGTAGTGTGCAAAGTTCTCTGGGGGTGTAAAAGCATCAAAATTTTGAAGTACATGACGTTGGGCTCTTCAAATACAGATCTATTATTTATTTCAGTAAGAATAAATAAAAACAGCCTGGTGACCTACATGAAGGTTTTAAAGTTTGCTAGCCAGTCTTTCATGACTCACTGCAGGTTCTCTTATTTGAGGCATAATTTATAATAAAAATGTGTGTATCTGTTTAGGCCTGAACATAATTAAAAATTTCTAATAGTGTAGACTTCTCCTTGTAAAGGTCTCCTACCTTATTTATTCATAACTTTTGTGATTCATGCATATATTTTATTGATCTTCACTACTATGTTCCTGCATATCTAAGCCAAATGAATATCATTGATATTGCTTCCTTACTTCCTTTTCTGTATAACTAAGATTACCACAGATAGATTCAGCAAAGAAACTGTTTCTTATAATTTTCTTGATTGTTACATAAATGTTTTTATTGTTTTTCTTAACTGCCCAAACACATGAAATCATTCTCAGTAGTGAAAATTGCCACACACACACACACACACAACAGGATGGAAAAACTCAATATAAGATTCTCTCATGAGTAGCACTGTGCTTGATGATATTATTCTATTCATTTATCAATATTGAATAATTCCCTTGAATTTTTCTCCCTCAAATTTAGTAAAGTATAATAAAAAACAAAACTTTTATATTTAAGATACACAGTGAGATATCTTGAGAAGTATACACTGGGAAGTGATTTTCACATTACAGCTAAAGAACACAGGTATCAGGCAGGTATGATTAAGTGAATAAGTCTCCAGGCCTCTCATACAGTTTAATATAATTTCCATACAATAACCTAGTACAGAGGCTTGGATTAAATTTGTAGTGTTCAAGTTCAACATTAAACCAAATGATAATTACTGACATCTGAGCTTCTTCCTCACCATGAGAGTAACAGAGTTACTCTCCAGGGAACTACTGTTAGAACTCCTGATTAAATCTGTATTCTCTTCTAAGCCTCTCTCAACTGAGAATAAAATAAATCATTTTATCTGTTTTTTATTGGAGATTATACATTTTTGCCCCTCATTTAGTTATTTTTTTTTCTTTGACCATTTACTTAATTTAATGATATGCTACCTATCAAAATAATGGAAGAATTGTCATAAGGGCAAGACAGAATTTTATCAATAGTTACACAGCTTCCTTACACACATGTAAATACCGAGTAGCTTCTCTGGTGTGAAAAACTAAAAGCATAAATGAGATCAAAATTGTATAATTGACAATGTGAAATAGGAACAAAAGGGCTAAAGTAGTAGGGGAAGTGTGAAGGGTAAGGGAAAGGAAATAAGGGAAAAGAAAAAATATGAGAAAATGAAAGAATGGAAACAAAGTCTTTGTAAATAGGGAAATGTAGAGGGGGTGAAGGGAGTGCAGGGTATGGGGAAATATGAGAACCAAGATCTGTCATGTGAGAGTACAGGATCTGAATGATAACTGTAACTCTACAGTATACCTAAAAAGTACCAATAAACTCAATGAGGACAAAAAGAATTCATTGCTAAAGCAAATGTTTGACTTCCAAAGAGGGAGTCTTATAAACTGTTATTGTCTTTACTTTTTTCACCTACATGGATGTTCTACCATTGCCATGCTGAATTTAATGGCTAGGTGAGAATGTACCTTGAAAGAATATATGTTAGGACTTCTTATGGAAAAACTTATTCCAATTATGAAAGAAACTGTAACATCTCGAGGCATCTTTTAAGAACATTAACTTTGTTCTTAGAAGATTTAGCAGAGATTGGTCAAGAAAGTTAACACAGTCGTTAGATACTCAGAGCTCTGATCCGAACACTGTAAATTTGTGTTCAAAACATCTCTTTCTGAATCCATGGGGCTTCTGCATGAGCTCACTAGACTAATTTTACAAGGCTCTCAGATTATTCTAAGGCATATTATACAGACCATTGCTTTAAAGATATATTTGATAAATTCATTTTGATTATTTTTGTTTAACAGCTTGGACTAATTCTGAAGGAAAACCCATGCCATCATTATTTTTGTTACCATCTCACTACTTCGTCATGTTTGAAAAAGTGCTTCTGTCCAATTAAGGAATTAGAAAGCAGAGAGAAAGGTATGAGGGAGCAAAGTGAGCAGACAAAGTATCTGGATGTTCACATGGCTTCACAATTTCAATCGAAACATTTCCCCTGCACTGAGTTTTTTTTTCTTTTAAAGAAAAGTTTCTTTTTTCCACAATTTTAAATATTTTATCTGTTGTAGTACATGTTTTCCATAGGTATTGATTTAATTCATCTTGGAGAGTTAGTGCATGTACATAACACACTTTAATTCTCATTTTCATCCACTTCCTCTACTCCTCCCTCTTCCCTACTCATCTCTTTCTTTCCTTTTCTTTGAAAAGTATTTATCTCTGTTTCCTACTGTTTATTATTTTGCTTTTTAAAATTATTCACATTTTCATGCACTTTTCAAAATTTTAGCAATGTCAAATTCATCTATACTGCTCATTAAAACAGAGTGCTTATCTAAATTATTTTCAAACATACTTCCATATTGTATCAAAGCTTTGATTTCTCTCATCATTCAAGGAATACTGCTGCTGCTTTGTGTCCAGAAAATATTTGTTTTATTGTATTTTCACATCTTCTGTATAGATTCACCAACAACATGAAATTCAAAAACCAAACAGCAGTTTCAGATTTCCTACTCCTGGGACTGACAGATGACCCACAACTTCAGCCTCTTATCTTCAGCCTGTTTCTGGTTATCTACCTGGTCACCATCCTGGGAAATGTGCTCATCGTTCTGGCAGTAAGATCTGACTCCCATCTCAACACCCCCATGTATTTCTTCCTCTCCAACTTGTCCCTTAATGACATCTGTTTAAGCACAACCACCATCCCAAATATGCTGATGAGCATCCAAACACAGGATCAGAGCATCACCTACATAGGGTGCCTCTCTCAGATGAGCATTGTCTTGATTTTGGGTAATTTAGAAAATTGTCTCCTTGCAGTGATGGCCTATGACCGCTATGTGGCTATTTGTCATCCCCTGAGGTACCTTGTAATCCTGAATTCCTGCTTCTGTATCCTGTTGGTTTTGTTCTCCTTGCTCATTAGCACTGTGCACACCCTGCTCCACACTCTGATGGCATTGAGGCTGTCCTTCTGCACAGACCTTCAGATCCCTCACTTCTTCTGTGAACTCGCTCAGATCATCAAGCTCGCCTGTTCTGATACCTTAGTCAATACCCTTTTGATATATTTAGTAGGTTTTGTATTTGCTGGTGTTTCTTTCTTTGGGATTATTTTCTCTTATATACAAATTGTCTCCTCTATTTTGAGGATCCCATCAGTGGGGGGAAGGTGTAAAGCTTTTTCTACCTGTGCATCTCATCTCTCAGTGGTGACCTTGTTCTATGGGACAGCTTTTATAGTGTACTTGAGTTCTACTGTTATGGACTCTCCCATTAAGAATATAGTGGCTTCAGTGATGTACACTGTGATCCCACAAATGCTGAACCCCTTTATCTACAGTTTGAGAAACAGAGAAATGAAAGTCGCTTTGAGGAAGCTTATCCCTGCAATACCTCTTCTCTAGTTTTATCATTGGATTTTGGCATAGTGTGCTAGTTTGTGTTAAAGTGAAAGGAGCACCTGTGAGCACAACTGTCTTATTTTCCATTGCCAGCATTGACATAAATGAGAAGAAGATTATGCCAGCTAAATGTACTTCTATTTGCATGTTAAACCCATGTTTGCTTTTTGTCTACTTCTGTGGTGTTGGTGAACAATTTAAATTTCTTGAGCTCCATAGCATGCTCTGTCCACATTAAGATGAACATGTAGGGCTCTACTTCAGTGATACTTTAGGGCTCAAGTTCAGATAAAACAAGTTGTAGAAACTGGATATGGCAGATCAGGTTTTAAGCAAGGCTGTGGTCACCTCTGCAGACATCTTCAGCCTGACCCACAGTTAGGACACATGGGTTGTATCACACTGCTGGACCTATTCTGTTGCTTCAACTGATATTCATACTTGACTAAGAAATCACTGAGACATTTTCTGGAAATCTATCTCCTGTCAAGGTCATACTAAGATTCACCCTATTCAATTTCATTATTTACAAGATAAGCAAGTTAAAATATTCAGTGGCTCAAGTTTAAATATAGTCTTCTTCTTGTTTGAGAAACCCAAATGAAAAATAAAGAGCATAATGGAGAATAGATGTTGGAAAATAGGAGGAACATGTTCAAATCAGAAGAGAAGCAAAGGGAGGGGAGAGGGAAAAGGAGGAAGGCGAAAAAGAGGATGGTATTTGTACCTTTATATGATGTACCTTGGTTATTGTTTTCCTCCATTCCCCTGCCCTCCCTCCACCCCTTTCACCTTTCCCTATTTACAAAACATTTTTATTTTCTCATACTTTTCTTTTCCCTTCTTTCCTTTCCTTTACACTTGCAATGTTCCCTACTGCTTTAGACTTTTTCTTCATATTTCCCATTATCAATTACATAATTTGAGCCTTATTTACACTTTTAGTTTTTCACACCTGAGATACTATTTGGTACTTACACATGTATGAAAAGAAAAAATATGACCTCAACGTGCATCAATTTAGCTATAAATCTCTTTAGTTTTTCATTCTGTATGGCTGAGTAGTATATATGAACATCTTTATCCAGTATCCAGTTGATGGACAGTTGGGCTGCTTCCAAGTTTTAGCTCTTATAACTTTACCTCTATAAACATGGCAGTGCATATAAATCTGTGGTATGATTCTTTTCTTTTGGAGAGATACCCAGAAGAAAAATAGCTGGGTCAAATGGGACCTCAAATCCTAGTTTTCTGTGGTATCCCAATACTGATTTCCACAGTGATTGTACCAGTCTTCAATCCCACCAGCATTGGTTCTTCTCTTCTTCAAAATGATCTGCTCGTTCCCTCATTCTCCAGTCTGCCTTGTTACTTGTTATCAGCAAGTGTTCCAAGGGTGGCCAGCTTTTTCCTTCCCACACTTGCAATGAATAAACAATAGATGTGCTGGGAGTGTTTTATCTTTGCTTCCATGAGCAGCTTGGATCAACTCAAGTCTCAGTTTCTCTTAAGTCTCTGTTTCTGTGTCTTTACTCCCTCTTCCCTATCTCAAGGATGTGGTCCTGGTTCATAGGAGGTCAATACACACTGCCTGGCTGTTTAATAATGTCTATTATATTTAGGGGCTCAAGATTGTTTCATAATATTGGGGCTTCTTAATTGCAGACCATTCGCTTCTCATAAGAAAATGGAATTTAAATTCTAACATGATCAGACCATAGGAACATTATCATTTACTTCAAGATCTCAGAATTCGAGAATGTGTAGTTTATGGGATTATCCACTTATTCATTCCTATTGAAGGGACCTTTTTCGGAATCTGTTCTCCTCCATTACCAGGTGGTTGCAGCAGATGCACCTATCATATCTGGACATGGTGCATCTCTAGATGACCGCTCTTGGGGACTTCAAGAATACGATTATTTCAGCCAGACTTTGTGTTGAATACCTGTAATCTCAACACTTGCGATGTTGAGGAAGGAGGATTGCTATGAGTTCAAGGCCAAACGGGGCTACATAGTGAGTTCAAGGCCAGCCTGGACTACCTGGTGTGACCCTGTGTCAAAAACAGACAGACAAACAAAATGTATATGTCAAAAGTAGAATAGTGGCCATCAAAATGACACTTCCATGTCCTTACACATTTCTCTTGGATTTTAGTCATGTCAAAAAATGATTTCTGCAGTGAATAATCCTATTCTTGATGATGTGGGCAGGTCTTATATGTAATTTTAATGTAGTTTTCTAAGAAGATGGATGTAGAAAAAGTGAGATTTTTGTATCCAGTTTTTGATTGTCCATATTGTATATATTTGTCTCAAAACAGTTACTTTCTGGGACCTTAATCATTTTATATATACCTGTACACTTTAACATTCCAAATTGTTTCTTTTAAATGTTTTGATTAGTACCTGTCTCTAATACACAATATTTGCATTCCTGTTGCGGAGTTGGTGAATATACACAACAAATCTTAATTCTTTTTTCATCCCCTTTCCCTCCTCTGCCTCCCCTGCCTCCATCTCTTGATCTCCTTTCACTTCAGGGAAGACCTATCTCCCTGCATCCTATCGTTTATTTTTATTTTGCTCTTTATTCATACTTCAGATATTTCATATAAGAAAAACCATGTGCTATTACAAACTGTGCTGCTATAAACATGGGTAGGTACAAGATCCCAATAATTAATGTAACTGTACTGTATGCCTAAAATGTACCAAAAGAGAAATAATTAAAAAAAAAAGAAAAACCATGTGCTATTTAAGCTTGTGTGTCTGATTTATTTAACTCAATATTATGGCCACAAGATACACCCATTTTCCTACAAATGACTCAAGCTTATCATTCCATATGCCAGAGTAGTGTTCCATTGTGTATAAATACCACATTTTCTTTGTCATTCCATCTCTTGACATTTAGACTGCTTCCACAATTGAGCTATTATGGATTGTGCTACTATAAACATGAGTATGCATGCTTTGACTCACATATTCCCCTGCTAGGTATCTTTCTAACAGAGTAAAAGACATTCAGATGTTTATTTTTGAGGCTGCTAAATTTCATTGTAACTATGCATAGAACCCATTCTCCCTTGCTAGTGTAGGATAGGCCTCTAGAAAATCGCATTTCCTTTTTTCTCTTAGCTATATAGTCATTTCTCTTCTTGTATAACAAGCTCTCAAAGTCAATCTCAATTCTTCCCCTCCCACCACTTTCTAAGGCCACTCCAACAAGGCTTTGGTCTGATTTCTCATGTAGCATGCTCACGGTTGCACTCACCATTACCCCAGCCAAGTCTTAACTCCTGCATTTTATTTGGCATCTTTTGCTGATTTTGGCTAAGGGAAACATTAGAAATTCACTCCCCAAGGTAAAATGTAGTTCTTACTTCTTCTATGGAGCTTTTTTGAAACTTCCAGGTATTTCATTTCCAAAATATTTAGTCTTGGGAAGTGGTAGTAAACCGATGGAATGCATGTTATTTGCTTTTTTCTTTTTTAAAATGAAAGATGTTAATGTATGAGTTTTTATTTTTTCTAGAGTAAAATATTAGTATTTAGGTTCAATTGCACTGTTGTCACTTTATTAAAAAAACAGGAAGGTTTTTGGGTTTAATTTAGGCACTCATCTATAAGAGGTTCTCCATCTCTGTTCTAGGCAGTGCTCAGCTCTTCAAATCTCCGATATATCTCTGTACTTTGAGCCTCCATTGCTCTAAAAGAGAAAGTACTCATAGGCTTACAGAGATGAACTCATGGGGCATTTTGTCTCCTGCCCATTCACCATGAAGTGTTTTGTCATTCCTGGAAAACTATCTTTGTTTTCACATTTATGCTTCTCTTTTGTAGTACATTGAAAAAGTGATTTTATTTCTAATTTAATCGATTTCTTTCTATGTTTAATCTAAATTTATGTACTTAAAATTTAATGGATTGGGGTATAGTTGTGTAATTCCAGGTACTAAGAAGGCTGAGGCAGGAAGATTTTAATTTCAAGGCCAGACTGGGAAATTTAGGAATACTTTGACTCAAAGAGAGCTGGGGGATGTGGCTTAGTGCTAAAGAAACCCAGGTTCTCATCACAGTACTAAAAAATAAAAGCCCCAAACAGTTAAAGGATTGATTATGATGAAGAAAGATATTACAAGGTCATCTTATTATAAGTGGAATTTAGACACTGTATCTTGAAAAGTACAGATTGACTATTTATATTAAGTGAGCTATTGTAGTACAAAATGACAAAACATGAAATCTATAATTCCTGAATTCTAAAATGTTTTAAAATAAATGTTAATATGAAACTCCAATACATTGATGATTGAAATCTAATAAAAAATTGTAGATGTTGCCACATCCAAGAATGAGATTCCACAGATTGAAATCCTGCACATATTCCTATTTTCAGTTTGTACATTGCCCCCTGTTAGATTTAATTTGCCTGGGCAGAGAGGGGAGACTTTGGTGTCTCTGATTGTCCTTACAAGGCCAGTACTTCCATTATGAGCTCAACATACATGATTACATATAAGCATTATTTCCTTTATGAGTCCAACCTACAAAAACCATTACATTTTGAAAAAAATATATATACTATGAAGAGAAAAGTTAACCTGCTGTAAAAGATACTTTTGGAACTGCAAATTAAAAAATATGTTTAATTAAAGCAATCTTGATTTCAGCCAATTGCTATGCTTCAATGATTAAGACTTGTGACATAGGGGCAAGAATAGACACAATGACCCTAATGTTTAGAACAGAAGTCCAGAAATGACATCATTTGCATAAGTGAATGTTTATTTTAACTCCTATGTTGGCTTTACATTGAATTAATGAACAGCTTAATACAAGATGCAAAGAAATAAAAATAACTTTATATTTTCATATCAAAGGCAAATATAAATTTCAGGTGGTTTCAACATCAAGCACAAATGGCAAGACTAAAGCTCTTTCATTAAGGGAAGTATCTCTTTCAATATCAATACTTATTGACTACAGACTACTAGA